CCCAAAAGTTCCAGCCTCTAGGATTCACCTCCCTTTTGAATGGACCCTTCACCCACCCTCCAATCACATAACAAGTGAAACCCATTTGCTGCAATGCTGGCAGAATTTGACTGGAGGAGTGTTGTTACATCAACAAAGTGAGAGTGGGGATGGTAGGTTTTCTGACAAAGCTGGCATGTAAAACAATCTGATGATGAAAACCATGCACCCAAGGCCGGTCCCCTGCTTTGCACTCAAAGCATGCGATAAGCTTCCATGTTCTTCTCTTCAATTTATCATCTCCAAACAGTGTAGAGATTATGATCCATTTACTTATCCTTTTAGCTTTGTTGGGTTTGAAACAATTTGCTCACATTAAATTGATGATAACAGATATGGGGCTGGTGATAGTCGTTAGTTGAGAATGGAAGCTTACCAAATCTCAACTCCTTCCATTTTCAGGGGAGGAATCCAAAGTTACTGATCCCCATAGACTCCGTATGAGTTACTCCACTGCAAGAAAAATTATGGAAAGCGACTCTCATTGGCAAAACAGAGTATCCAATACAAAGCACAAATCTATCATCTATGTCTCACTGCCCAAAAAGCAAAACAAATTCATTCATTACCGCCACTCATTAACAAGCAGCATCATTCAGCTAGTGAATTTTTATTTTGGGTTTTATATTTGCCCTCCAAATTTTCTGTTTTTCAATCTTTTTTGAAGAAATCTAACTGTTGACAACTAGTTGCTTTCTACTACAATATTGAATATTAAATGCAACTAATAGAGGTACCAATAATTTAGCTTTTAAACGTTGTGGTGCCATCCCATTTTGATTTTTGGTGATGGTACCTAATGATGTAACACTCTCCTGGGCTAAGCTACAAGAGAAAAAGGAAAATTTAAAGCACCCAAAAAAGCCTGTTTGGGTAGCATTTATGGTGCAAATATTAGATGGGGGGCTAAATTTTGTTGATCTTTTAGCAAAAACAAGTAAGTACTGCAAAGAGTTAGCTGAATCAGTTAATTAGAGGATATGCCATTTCTGTTAACTGAGCTGTTTGCTTTGAAAACCCCTGAAAACCTATCAGAATTCAAGTGCTCAGCATAGAGTTCTTTGTACCAAAAAAAGGAGAAAGGAAAAACAAAAGCCTTCCCCTTACCTAGTGCCTAAATCAAGCAAAAGTAAGTAAGTTCATTGTGTTTAGCCAAACCCCTTAAACAAAGCAAATTAATGTCAAAATTTGCATAGAATTCCCTTGGGTGGGGGGGAAGGAAGGGGGGAGTAGGTGAAGGAAATCCCGTGTATTAAGTTTTTTTGGTTTGACTGAAATGTAAGAACTATATTCAACATAGTTTCATACCACACGAGTGGTGGAGAAGTTGATCCATACATTGGACAAAGAATACAATTGATCATCCTATGAATCCAAAGATATGAATTTTGACAATGATTTCATATGGGAAATTACATTAAAAACAATATAAAAAACACAAAGTTGGGTAACAAGAAAATACAAAGTCAAAGTTAGTTGGTCTCTTGCTTGCAAGATAAACAAAGCATCTGCTGTAAGTTCCATGATAATATCATGAGATGGGGTTGATTATCATGTCAAAGACACCCCCTCCCTCCCAAATGGTCCCCAATGCATAGCAAACCACGTGCATAGATGCATCAAAGTTCGTAGAAACCATCAACAATATATATATATATATATAGAGAGAGAGAGAGAGAGAGAGAAAAGCAAGTGCCAAAACAAAGATATTATAGTTCTAAAATTCTTTTACATGAAAGAGAGAGAGAGAGAGAGAGAGAGAGAGAGAGGGTAGTTGGTGAATGCGGAGGCTTTCAAAGCAACCTCTTGGGGCGAAGGATCCGATGCGCACAAAACTAAAAACTCTCTCTCTCTCTCGTTATAAGCTGTGTCTTCTGAAACTGATTCCTCCTATTTTTCTCTTACTCTCACCAAAAGTGTAGAAAAAAGCCTCGAAGAAAATCTAAAATAATATGCAAACAGAGAGAGAAATCGAGTAAAGAAACAAGGGAAAAAGATGGTGATTTGATGATTATATTCCATTCTGTTTAGGATCTCTATATCAAACATCTTTTCCCTTCTTATAGTTTCGCCTTGCTTTGTCTCTTAGCAGCTCCTCCTCCTCTCTCTCTCTCTCTCTCTCTCATTCCCTTCTCAATATTCTCCTGGCGAGTTTGATCTTAAATGTACGCAGAATTCAGCCAGGTTTCCCTTCTTAGCATGTCAAATTCAGAGCTCTTCCTGGCTAAAGATGATGAAGAAGGGATGGAATTAGGTATCATGAAACGACCCGCATTGGAGTTTCGAGAGGAGTGTGCTCAGGCTACAGCTTTCTCACATGATCCTAAGAAGGAACCGCAAGTTGATGAAGAGAAAAAAGGAGGAGAATGCAGCGTTACAGCTTCTACGGAAAGCGAAAAGAAGAAGCCATGTCTAGGAGAATTCAAGGCAACAGATGACGACGATGGGTTCAAAACTCCTACATCTTTGGATCACAAAATCCCAGTGATCAAACAATGCCCACCTGCACCGAGAAAACCCAAGCCGGCGCCACTCCCATCAAATAAAAGAAAAGCATCGTCATCGCCAATTACTCGCAGGAATCTGCAACTCGATCTTTCACTAGAGATCGAGTCCTTGTTTCCCAGACCTCTTCTTGCTGATTTCCACCGCAAGGTCAAGAAAGCTCGAAACGAAGACAACCATTGATTTTTACCAACTCATTGTTAGTAGAATAATAATATCTACTCAAATTTGGTATGAATTATGTAAAATGAGAATCTATTTTGTTCATATGAGGATTGGTGCAGTGCTGGAAATAAAAAATCCTATTGCAGATATATGCAATTCTTCTTTATCATTTTCTCCTTCTTGGGTTCCTTACTTTCCTGGATTATGATCACCATTCATGGTGTAATTGGTCTAAGAAACTTATGATAATGTTGCTGTAAAGTTAATGTGCAGAAAAAGATGCAATAAGCAAGTACAGACCAAGAAAAAACATAAAGAGAAAAGATGTGTAGAAGAGTTCCAACTTTATTGCACCCCAGCTTCTTTTGTACTCAAGGTGTTATACTCCTTTAAAGAAGAGCTGGAATTTATTTCTAGACTTGGAATAAAAGAGAAGTTGCCATCTTTGGTATCAAGCTTCTAATTTAGTTTAATCTTCTTTCTCTTTTTGATCAAGATATTATTCTTCATTTAGATTTCTCTTTGGACTCTCTCAAGAACAATGGAAATCATGTCTTTTTAAATTGGAGAATGATTGTGTACTCTTTGATTATATTTGAGGGTCTTGTATAAAAAATAATATACATCCAAAGTCCCTTTTTTTTATGAAAATTCTTTAAGAAAAGTTAGTCTAAAATCCTTAACTTTTTTTAATGAAAAAAAAAAATTCTAGAGAATCTATTACATTATATATTTGTATCCCTATATATTAGTGTATGCGTATCATGGGTTATTACCCTCTTTTCAAAAGGTTAATATGATAGACTGTGTAGCACTCCTAACTATCTGTCAGTTGTTATATTAAAAAAATTTATTTACTTTTTTTCTTGAAATGCATAGAATGACATATGTATGTATATGAAACTATCATATTATCATTTGTATGGAAACTTTTGCATAATTATTTTTTTCCAATTAAGGAAAATGGTGTTCATGAAATGTCAAAGTTAGTTGTTTTTATAAGATTTTAAATTACAAGATTAGATTTCTTTTGTTAAAAAAAAATTTGTAATGTTTATTTATTATTTTAAGCACATTCTGATATTTTACTATAAAATAGAAATACCTAGAATTAAGTTATTAAGTTGTTACCAATCTGGTAAAGTGCTATAATTATAGATTTAATTTCTTGAAGAAAAATATGGAAGAGAAGTTTGAAGGAATATATAAATAGGAAAAAGCATAGACATGAAATTTAGGGCCTTTTCCTTTGCATCTTTTAAATGTGTGTATGTGTGTATAATTGAAGGCTTTGAGACTTGAGGCTGGGATAGAAATCTAACCTTGCAGTTTCTTTGCATGTAGATAAATAAAATAATGAAAATTTGTTTTGGATTAATTTTGGTTTAATTAATTAATAAAAATTATTAGTAACTATCACAAAAAAATCCAAGAAAATTTTAACAGTGTGAATGGTGTGAATATACTTCATTTTTGGAAAGGACATCCCAAAAAGTTAAGGAACTGTGTATAAGACATGGAGATTGATTGCTAAATTGCATAATTGTGCAATTAACTAGCACATAAATATTAAAGTATTAAGTCATAAATTTCTGAAAGGCTATTGCCATAGTCGGTATGTCCGAGTGGTTAAGGAGACAGACTTGAAATCTGTTGGGTTTCACCCGCGCAGGTTCGAATCCTGCTGCCGACGAATTGTATTTTGTTTCTTCATCCCAAGGCCCAAGTGACAAATCTCTCTACTTTTCAACTCAAGCCCGAGCCTAAACACTTACTAAACCCATCCGTTTTGTTTCTTCAAGACAAGGCCCAACCACACATGCCTTCCTCTCAATTCAATCCCTGTTTCAGTGTTTTGTTTTCTTTATTGAAAAAAGGGGAAAGGAAATCAATTTTGGGTTTTCAATCTATTCCTTAATGTTCTGGAGCATGGGATGTTGCAGGCTGGTCACGGCTGGCGTTGTGTGGCAGTCGGTCTCTTTAATGTCAATATTGTTGTGTTGGGATTCGAGGTTGAGCCCCATCAGGATGAGAATTTGGAATTTATTTTTGGTTTCATCAGGGCAATGAATGTAACTTTTCTGTTCCAAAAAAAATCTATTCCTTAATGAATCAACACAATGAACACCCATAATTTAAAGAGTTGGAGTTGAGTTTTGACCGAATTAGAGCTGAAAATTGCTTAATTTGTACCAAAAAAATCACAAGTAAGATATTCCAATCATGAAACTAGTTTGTGGGAGACCATGAACCATGACCATTGAATGATGAAGAAGGTAGCAAGAAACACGCGGCGACTTCATGCGGATGCACAACTCCACCTTATAGACGTGAGGGGACTGAATCAGGATACATGTCATAACTAAAACGACCTTGTTTGACCGTTTCTCCTCCTTTTCCCCACTCCTTAAACGGGAACGTCCCTTCTTTTTCTCTCTTCCATCCTTCCCCTTTCTCTTTCCTTCCCAATCCCTCCCAAACACTTCAAACGAAGAAAGAACAAAGATTAGTGGAATCGAGATTTATTTTGCAATCCAAATCTTTCTTTGGAAACGTAAGTTTCAATCTGAAAAGGGTTTCTTTTTGTTTCATCGAATGTGATGAAATGGATAGTCGCAAGATGGATCGAAGGAAAACTATGACCATGAATTGGGATGGTCTACGAGACGATGACGATGAGTTCTTTGAATCCTACGATCGAATATCCTCCGTTGTGCCTTTAGACTTGGCTTCTTCTGGTTCCGAAGATGAAGATGAAGATTTCGATGATTGCCGCATTTCTTTCGCTTCCGCAGTGTCGTCGGTTCATACTCCACAATTCCGAGCTTTTGCGACGAAAGCGACCCCAATGTCTCCTGACTATGATATTTGGATGGCGTCTCCAGGGTCCGTTAAGGAACGGAGGCAGCGGCTTTTCCAAGGAATGGGCTTATCTCCTGACAAAGAGCTTCTCAGTTTCAAACGTGTGGTTTCCAACAAGGTCCCTAACTGTCAGGTTCAGACAACAACTCAAGTACCCGTAGCCGTTACGAGTGTTTCCACAATGGAAAATCAAGAAAACAATGAAGATTCTTCGAAATCGGAACTGCCTCACTCTCCGCTTCCCATCCTGTTCGTACGGTCCCGGTCCGAAGGTGAGATCGAGTCACTTTCCATTGAAAAGAAAAGAAAAGAAGTGCTTCTTGGTTCCATATCAAAGCAACGTCTCACAAGAACATATTCTTTAATATCAACCCCACATGCAAAATCGTATCCGTACCAGGAAAGCATTAGAGCTTCCCCTAAAGATGTAGGGAATAGTCATACAATTAAGCAAAATGGTGGCTTAACCTCCATGTTTTCAAAAAATAGGTTCGGAGCTTTTTTCTTGATTAAGAATTTGGATACAGGGAAAGAGTTTATAGTTAATGAATATGATCAAGATGGGATGTGGAACAAGCTAAGTGATCTTCAAACAGGGAAGCAGTTGACAATGGAGGAATTTGAGAAATGTGTGGGGTATTCGCCAGTGGTAAAGGAGTTAATGCGTCGAGAAAATGTTAACAGGATGATCGGTGATTCCGGAAATGATCGGAAGTTTAATTCTTATCTTTCGAAGAGTTTGAGGATGAGCAAGAGAAGAGGTGCAGCCGTGTTGAGAAGTATAAAAGGGGTGGCCAATTCCATGACATTGAGGGGTGAGAAGGAAAGGGAGATTGTGTTAGCTCCGGATCCCAAGAATGGCACCAAGAACGGAAATAACCAGTGGGTGAAAGTTAGACAAACAGGGAAGGCTTATAAGGAGTTGAGTGCTTTACATTTATGTCAAGAAATTCAAGCTCATGAGGGATCGATTTGGACCATCAGGTTTAGTACTGATACAAGGTTTTTAGCAAGTGCTGGTGAGGATAAGATAATTCATGTGTGGGAAGTTCAAGAATGTGAGGTTATGTCGATGAGTGAAGGCAGTTTAACCCCACTTCATCCGTCGCTTTCTAGTTCACCAATTCATCCATCGCTCTCCATGTCCCAAGATCAATCAGGACTTTTGGAAGCTGTAGGTAACCTACATGAGAAAAAGAAGAAGGGAAAGGGCTCATCTACTAAAAAAGGCAATCAAATTCCTGATTATGTCCATGTGCCAGAAACTGTGTTTTCCCTGTCAGATAAACCAGTGTGTTCTTTCAAGGGCCATTTGGATGATGTTCTAGACTTGTCGTGGTCTAGATCTCAGGTTTGATTCTTAGAATTCTTACCATTTATATTTAGAAAATGTAGTAGATCCAGATAAAACCAAATAGTTTTTATTTTCCAATCAACTAATTGGCCCATGTCTTTGAATGCTTGTCACGTATTATCCACAGATTCAATCTATATATATATAACCCGTAGGGTGACTTTTATGAATTTGCAGCAACTGCTTTCATCTTCAATGGACAAAACTGTTAGATTATGGGACCTGGAATCAAAGAGCTGTTTAAAATTGTTTGCCCACAATGACTATGGTAAGATACCATTCCATTTCAATTTCAACTAAAGCTCATGTTGAGTCTATCAAAATACAAACCAACTAATGGCTTTTGGTCTCTGTTTTTTTTTGGTAGTAACTTGCATACATTTCAATCCCATGGATGACGATTATTTCATAAGTGGTTCACTTGATGCAAAAGTTAGAATTTGGAACATACCAGATAGGCAAGTTGTTGATTGGACTGATCTACATGAAATGGTTACTTCTGCTTGCTACACCCCCGATGGCCAGGTCCGGCTAAGTAACTTTTGTTGTCTACTGATTGCCTGAAACTGTTCATCTCGGTACAACATTCATGGTTTTACTTGGCTTTGCCTCCTTAATTATCTTTTGATAATTATAGACTCTGTATGTTGTAGTTTAACTTCACCGTGGGTATAATTCTTTAGAGGTGTTTTTGGTACCTTATAAGATTTGACATGCTAATCAAGTTTATATGATACTATTCCCTTGAAGTTTCACAATATTGATTGACTTGATTAAATTTTTTTATGAAATGGTTTTCTTCGAAGATAATCTCCTCCCCTTTCTAAATTATATATGTTTTTCATTACTGAAGGGTGCTATAATTGGTTCACATAAGGGCACTTGTCGCATGTACGCTACTGAGGGTATGGTTTGCCCTTTGGGGTTCAAATTTGCATTCAGTTTTCTATTCAAAATTTAATATCTCACCATGTATACATTATAATTATTCTCATTTGAACTGATGATCTAGAGTACAAATTAACTCAGTTAGAACAGATTACCATTCAAACCAAGAAGAAGGCTCATGCTAAAAAGATTACTGGTTTCCAGGTAACTTTACCAATTTTGCATTCAAGTTTATATACATATACTCTATCATTCCCCTATTGTTTTTTAAAGTTAAATTACTTATAACCTGAAGGCTTTCCTTCTGAACAGTTTTGCCCAATTAATCCATCCGAAGTACTCATTACCTCTGCTGATTCTCGAATACGAATTCTGGATAGTTCAGATGTCATTTACAAATTTAAAGGTATCATTTCAAGAAAAAAACATTGGAGACTTATTTTCTTACTTGTCAGTTCGAGTAAAAAATAATGCATACGTTCTTGGTTGTCTGTCAGGGTTTCGAAATACCAGCAGCCAAATCTCAGCTTCATTTACTTCAGATGGAAAATATGTCGTAAGTGCAAGTGAAGATTCTCAGGTATTTGTTTGGAGGTACGATGAGTCTCGGAATACAGGCGCAGGGAAAAGAAGTGTTATCACTGCTCGGGGTTACGAGTACTTCCCATGTAAAGATGTTTCGGTGGCAATCCCATGGCCTGGTACTATAAGAGGTGAAGCTCCATCAATGCCGATAGCACATTCGAAAAGGCATTCAAAACGATCCCCGCCGCAGCAAACTAATACTAACTGTGAATCGCCGACCAAAGAAGAGAGCCCTCGAGCGAACAACAACAAGAAAGGCTTGCCCCCACTTCCAAAGAAAAACAATAACAACAACAACAACAACAACCACAACCACAACAATGTAGAGAGAAGTGTAACCCCTCCAGAAGAAGAGCTTGCTCAAATTTCTCGTACAGATACTGGGATTGGCGAGTCACCGTCCATTTCGAATTCTTCCTCCCTAAGGCATGGTGATTCGCCTTCTGTTTCCGCTGCTAGCAACCTAAATGCTTCTTCCTCGATACGAGCTGGGGATTCACCTTCTATCTCTTCTGCTTCCAACCCAAGTTCTGCCTCAATAAGATACGGCGATTCACCTTCTATCTCTTCCGCCACGCCGTCGTCTTCTTGGTCTGCTTCTTGGTCTTGGTTCGATGTTGGCGGCCATGGAAATCACCATACGCAAGCGACAGCTTGGGGCCTAGTAATCGTCACGGCCACAGTGGGAGGTGAAATCAGGATTTACCAAAATTTCGGGTTACCACGTAGAATCGGCCGCCTCTAAGAATTTTTTTTTATTTCCCTTCCTTTTACCCAACAAAGCTTCTGACTTTAGAATATGAATTATACACAGGAATGTATAGAATTTTACACGACAAGCCCCATGCAATTAAATAAAACTGCAAGAGTGGTTTTTTTTAATTTAATTTTGTAAAGGTTTAAGCTTTTTTATCATATTCGTTTTGTCGATTAACTAATTATGTTAATCGAATTTCATAACTCAAGAATTCAATTATAATTTCATAATTGGTCAAAATTCGAATCTTTTGTTCCCATTGTTTTATCTTATTTTCTGTTTCAATTCTAATAAATTATTTTGGCAATTCTATGCAATATCACTGAACTAATTATAAAATTTCAATTCATAAATATATAAACATTAAAATTCAAAATAAACTTATGAGAATTTAATTTTTAGAATTTTTTATTTTAAATTTATTTATTTTTTAACGATAAGAAGCTGCTTCAGGCTTTAATATTTCCTTTAAAAAAAACAGGCTTAAAACTTGACGTTACAGGTTCATGACTGAGGTTCAGTTCGAATTTGTGGCGCGAAAAGCACAACAGAGAAAATAAGAATGGAAGATTCTGCTCCTTTGGCCACCGTAGAAGACATCCAAAAACGCCTCCTCCGCCCTCCCTCGCTTCACACTTCGCGGTACTTTCTTTTATCTCACCGTCTAGTCAAAGCGACTCCGATTCCTTTGAATATCTGGTTTGATTAATTGAATATTTTCCCCTTTGCAGGGAAGGCTTAAACTCTTCGCAATTGAAAGTGAGTTCGAAACAGAGTGGAACGGTTAAAAAGAAGCTGGAAGATTACTTACATCCGGTCCTTTTGGCGGCAGTCTCATCCAAGATCGGTTGTTCAAAGAAGGCAAAAACAGAGACGAGATTGAAAAGAGAGGTTCGGGGATTCGAGTGGCCTGTCGATGAACTCAAGGTGTTCGTGGAAGACGATTCGAGGATCACTAACAGAGCCAACTGGAGAAATGGAGAAGCCGTTGACCTTAACAATGATTTCGATGCAATCGGCGTCGGCGAAGATGAAAATGAAGAGACCGCTTCCCCGTTTCAGCGTTTCGAAAAAACGGCGTTGAAAATTTTCAAAGATTGAAGATTTAAAAATTCAAAAGATTCAGGTCAGGTTGGTTTGTTCGTTATAATTGGCGTACAGACTGCAAAGAAATTCACGCGTTGGCAGAGCAAATTTTCCATTTCTTACTTTTTACAATTTGTTTTAACCCCTGGGTGAAAAATAGTTTTTTTATGGTATGGTTAGATAATGGAAATTATTTTGACCAAAAATAATTTTTTTAAAAAATAATTATATTGAAAATTTTAATATATTTTATTATTGAATAAATTAAAAAATATAGGCACAATATACAAAAAACTTTTAAACTATTTAAAAAAATTCAAATAAATCTGTATATATATATTTTTACGTTTAATTATGTTTTTGTAATTTTATTTTGAGTCAAATAAATCTTATATTTTTTATTTTTAGTTAAATAAATTTTTATGATAAATGATTAATTTAGTCAAAATATCATTTGTATTCTATATTACATGACGTTAATATGAAATGCTAAAATATCGTTTTATGTTGACATACAATAATTAGTAATGACATGACATGTTAATTTGGCATGATAATATAATCATATAATATTTTTCACTTTTCACATTAATGTCATATCAGTAACATATAGATATAAAATGACAAGTAATATTTTTACAAATGACAATCAGTCAATTATTAGATATGAAGATTTATTTAATTAAAAATAAAAAAACAAAATTTTAATTAAACATAATAAAAGAATAAATACTTATTTGAATATCTTTAAATAATTTAAGAATTTATTTTAGCATTATGTCTAAAATATAGATTCTTACACTAATTGACAGAGGAGGTCAAGAAAAGGATAGATCGATAGACATGTCAAAGAGAGGAGGGGGGAGATGACAAACGGTTTGGAATATTATTTTACGTTTTTTGAAGATGTAAGATAAGTTTCTTAAATATAAATTTAATTTCGTTGACTCTAAAAAATTTTTATATTTTTCCTCTTCCAAACATGAAAAAATATTGATTTTTGTTATCCTTTTCTCTTTGAGATTTGAAGCTTGATTTAGTTTACTAGGCTTTTCCTTTAATTTTTTTTCTATATTTTTGCTTTCTCAAAATTTACTAGATAAATAATGAAAATGCCTAAAAACTAGAATTAATTCATTCAAACATAAAAAAAAATTTACATATGAAAACGATTTTCTTATTTTAATTTTGAAATTAAAAAAAATTAAAAAGTAACAAATAAATTGATTTAATTTTTTTTAAAGTTTATTTAATGTGTTGGACAATGAAACCCGAACAAAATGTGGCTAAACCTTTTCAACTGAGGTGGGCCTGACCAATTCTGTTTGGACCAGTTGGCCCATTCTAACAAACATTTGGATCAAATGCCACCCAACGAATCCTGAATTCCTTGACCCAGAGAAGCAACGTACCGGGCAAGCCTCGGGGAGGTTTTCCTAAAAACGACCACGTTTTACTTCCCTCTCCAGATTTGAATTCAAAAACAGATCCATTTCCCCGCGCCGCTTTCGCATGAAAATCTCGCTGCATTGTCCAGAAAAGCAATCCGTAATCCAATTAGATATCTCCTTGTTTCCAAAAATGAACTCAGTAAATTCACCAATAACCTACACCGTCGAAGACAAAGACCTAGACGACGCCGCATTGTGGGCGGTAATCGACTCGGCCGCCGCCTCCCACTCCTCCTCCAAACACCGTAAAACCTTAGCAATCAAATTCCCCAACCACCAATCCCCGCTCACCCCCGTATCCCACACCTCTCCGCCCCAAAAAATCCCCCGTAAAAACCCTAGCCATCACCTTTATTCCTCACCTAACACCAATCACCGGCGACTCGCTAATGCCGGTGAAGATTACCACCGGCCATACAAGATAGCGAGGTCTTGCGCTTCCGAGGTCAGCGAGTCAAGCCCGATGGCAATAGTGCAGAGGACCCCAATCGCTTCTTTTCGGGAATACCGGTCACCGGAGACGTACTTGTCGCCGGGGTTAGGAGGTAATGGATCGGAGGTGTCTCTGGAGAGTTGCGGAAGGAGTGATGAAAAGGAAGGGATGAGGCATAGCTTGTCCGGAAAGTTTCCTTCGGTTGAGCTGTTTAAGGAGTATCAGAATGCAGCCATGGCGGTAATTAAAGCTTCTACCATCAGAGTTATCCTTTAGCGTTTTAGAAAACAAATTTACCTAACATTTGAACAAAATAATGTGTCATTAAATGAACAGATATTGGAGAAATCTGATTATACTATGATATCTGGAAATCCTTACATTAAAAAATCAGGTAACTTAAGTCTGGTTCTTCTCTTTACTCTTTCCATAATTTGACATTAAAAGGTAAAATGGGTGTGTTCATGTTATGTAGGTTGGAGGAAAATATCGTTTTATTTCAATCTCTCGTTTGAAATCAAAGACAAGAACATTGAATTCGATGACAATCGAAATGTTCAGCGTGCTGAATTCGTGGTTCGGGCTTATATGCAGTATGTTCATTTTAAGCTCTTGAAGATCATACTTCTTTGATGTTTACGACTATTTTTTGCATTATTTTCTTTCATCATGTTATTAGGGGTGGACGGTTCTCGGATGGATGGGGATCGTGTGAGCGGAGGGAGAAGAGATTTCTAAAACCAAACCATGATATACCAAGTACAGCAGAAACTAGAGCTAAGAACAAAGCATGTCAGGTGGGTATTTTCTTTTGACTACTCTCACATTTCCAGTCCAGGTTTCATATGGCATTTTAAATTTGGGTTAATCTCATTTTTAAATGCTGTCCCCAAATTTTACGTGCTGTTTGTTTACCTGGAAATATTAATCCTGCTAAAAATTATGTAAAGTTCAAGTATTTAGTCTGAGTTAGAAATTTTCAGGGTGTTAATGTTCATGCTTGCACAATGACTTCTTATTTGGATTCTCTAGAAACTTGTTATTTGTCACTAGTGAAAATATGGACTTGGCATGAGTTGCAATTTCCATGTAAAAAGAAAAAATTTAACCTAAGACAGGGGATATGGTGGGATTTTGATTTCTCAGAGGTCATTGAGGATGCGGAGTTAAGAAGTGTTACAACCATATACTAGTGTTTTTCCAGCATAAAGCGGTTTCCTTTAACAAACGATCCTTAAGCTAATCAACAATCAGAAATATGGTGCTAATATAGTGCTTTTGTTCTACCCCATTTTTCAATCTTAGGAAACCATAATCTACAAGTCTTATTGCATCAGTTTATTCGTACCAATGAAGATTTATTTACACAGAAACTGACTCATTGTGAATCTGTGATGTTCATATGTTACGTTCTCTGCTTAAAGTTCAGATCTTTGTGAACATTATTTGCAGGACCTGCTAGGAATTGGAGAGTATCGTCCTGGTGCAAGCCAATTTCGGCAATAAAGATACCCATTCATTGTTTTCGCCTAATGCTGCCCTTAATTCTCTGACATTAGAAGAATCATAGCCGGAGAGATCCAGCAATTTAGATTTCTTGCCTATAACATGAGCAGGTAAAAAGAAAACAAAAAAGAAGAGATAGAACATTTCAGCTTAAAATGCTATCTGGGGGTCAAGAATGCTAGTTGCCCCCCATATTACTCATCTGTCCTTCAAAGCTTGTCTTTTTAAATGATTAAAGGAAGAAAAAAAAGAAGAGTTCCCTGGTGAATTTAAAATAGAATGCTTTGTCTTCCAGGAGTTAAAACTCAGGCTAGTAGCTACTCTGTTTGTTCCCTGGTGCACTGGTACAAGTAAATTTATTACTGACAAATAGCCAATAATGAACTGGTCTTGATTCAAAGTTTCCCAGCTGAGTATCTCTGTTTTGATGATTGACATGACACATGAGGGGAGGAGCCACACACCATTTCTGGTGCTCCTGGAGCAGCATTTTATTATCATTCATTAGTTTTAAGAATCAAACGTCTGAGGAGTTAAGAAAGCCTTTGGAACAGAGCTACAACAACATACTGAACAGTGAACAGAGCTTATGGACCAAAAGGGTAGAAAGGTAATCCGCCCCTTCTCTCGAAATACAGGACGAAACAGTTCATGTTCACCAAAGCAGAACCATTTTCCTTTTTTCCATGTTTTTTCACAGCTCTTTTTAACGGTAACTTTTGCCCCCTCCCCCGTATATTTAAAAATTGACAACGGGCGTGCTAGCTTTTTCAGAAATGGCTTCAGGGTCCCCAAAAGGTAGGAGTTCATAATGATGCCAATTTTTTTAATAAATGATGGTTTGATTTTGATATTTATCAATATAAAATCTGGGCTTTTATTTCATCAATTATGTGATTGTTTTATTTTTGGTAATTGGTAGGAAGGAAGGGAAATTAAAAAAAAATATAAGAGAAAGGAAAATTATTATTTTTTAATGTTTGATATGAAAAATGAAAATTAAAAAAAAATTGAATGGGTGTATAGATTTTATTTATTGTTATTGAATTAAATATTGTTAACTCACTGATAAATAAATTTAGAAGTTAGGAATTTTCGAAAATAAATATTTATAATTTTAAAAATATTTATTTTATAAAACTTATATATTTATAAGTTAATGTTTTGTGATAAAATGATAGTATATAAATAGATAATATATTAAATATAAATAAATAAATTATTTAAGTAAATAAGTGATTTCTTCCCATTTTTTAAGAAATTTGATTTAGAAAGAACGGAAAGATGCAAATCTCGTCATTTTTCTTCTCTTATTTATATCCAAGAAAAAAGAAACATTATTTTCCTTATAGTTTCTCTCTTTCTTTCATTTTTCCTTCTCACCAAACACAATTGTTAGGGATGGAAATTATCCAGATTCCATGATCAAATGTCACTCCTTCGACGATGAAATACGCAAGTTGCAGGCTCAAACGTCCGTAGAACCATTAGCTTTTGGACTCTTGATTCATATATTGGGCCTTGGGACAATAATTTGCATTCCCACAGTCCTTAGATCCTCTCTAACATAGCAGAAACTTTTGTTTACATTGCATTAATGAAAGTTCCAACATGATGGGGAATTGGCAAAAACATGGGAGCTTTGGGAAGAAAGGGCATGAAACTATAAGGGGTATTTTGGTCATATGGGAAAGATGCTGGCCCTGCCATGCCGTCAAGAGCCAAGACCCTGGCCCGCTCTGCATTGCCATTTCCTCTTTTCTCTCGCCCCGGGACAAAAAATTATTCCGCTTCCTCTCCTTCCTCCTGCCCTTCTGTCTTGTCACCAGGGGAGATGTCCAAGTGAAAACGGTAACACGTCCCTTTCTTTTTCCTTCCCCCTTGCTCTTTCTCTCTTGATTGTGATGTAATTTTCAGTTTGAACTGAAAATGCTCTTTGGCTTGGGTTAGAGAAGGAAAGTTTACTAGGTTCTTTGATCTTCACTGTTTTGTACTATAAGCTGCCATTCTCTTCAACCCTTTTTCTTTCGATTTTCTTAATGGAGCTCGATGGTGGAAATAAAATCTAATTCTCTATCTGAGGTGACTTCTCTCAGTACATCAATCAATCCTTGCGGTTTTCCAGTGTACTTGGAAAAAGAAGTGAAATCTCATGGCTCAACGGGTACTACTTGTCTCTCTTTTTCAGACCGATGGTTCTTACTTTCTTCTGGTTTTTTGTTTGCTGTATTGAGAAGGTGACATGATGAATGAGACATTTTTGTGGGTGCAGGAAGAAGGGTGGCCGCTAGGCCTTCAACCATTGAATGCAAGAATTGGGTTGGTGAGAACTCGTGATTTCTCTGGTTCAGTTTCATTCAGTACTTTGCTTACTGCTTCTCCCAGTTCCTCTAGCATTTCTTCTTCAGATCTTGACACACAGGTCAGTCTTTTGTTCTCCTTAATACAAAGATTTTCCTGTTTCTTTTGGTTTTTAACGGAAGAGAAGCGACTACCTTGTAGCCAACTGGCTTTAACAAACTTTATATTAGAGGACAAATGCTTGATTTTTTGTTTCCTTTTCCATATAAATGTACGAAAAACAATCAACAGGGCAGCCTGTGCTTTTAACTGAAGTTCTAACTGTAACTACAGTGAGTTAGTGACCACCTTTTTCTTTGTTTGTTGAATTCCTGAATCCTGAAAACTCTTGACATTCACTAGGAGAAAGCCAGACTGCAGGGGCACCCCTGCACCGTTTCTATCAATGTTCAATTCTGCTTTCCGTACAGTAGTGTTAAGTTTGTGAGGGATTTTCACTCCTGTCCAGGTGTTCCGTCTGTATTCATTAAATAGCAAAGCCTGAAGCAGCAGCTTTACTCCTTTTTCACATGGTCTTACTATGATTGTGTTTTGACTGCATTGTGTTCTTCAATTGCCCCAGCATTATATTAAACTTATATCAATATGTTTAACAATGAGAACAAAAGGGTAGATGCCCACAAGACCTCGGATCACTAGCTGATTGATCTGTTTAAAGTGGCTTGTCATGCTGGGTGAGGTCACTTTGGGGGTCCCAAAGCATGGTCTCAAAGATCATTAAACTGTCACTTCCAAGCTTCTGCAATGATTCTTGCATGCATTGATCCAAAAACATAGTTCCCATCTCTGCTTGTTCTTTATTAAAAAAAAACGAGACAATCTGCAACACTTTTTTGAGTTTGGAAGCAAAGAAAGCTAAATTTCACGACTTAAATTGATTTACCAGGTTTTGTGTTTTTGATTAATTCTTTGTTTTTTCTTGTAACGATTTCAGTCCACGGGATCTTTCTTCCATGACAATAGCATCACGCTTGGAAGCCTCTTAGGAGTGTCTAGCTTTCTGGAGCTTTCTAGGAGATCAACCAGGAGAAGAACCACAGAAACCTTGAGAGACCAGAAGTCTAGGCCCTGGTTGTTCTCATTATGTTCAAAACAAAGCACCGACGCCGTGGACACTAACAACGCTCAGTCTCTTGGTCACTTTCTTGAAGTAGAAAGGAGAGCCGCCAACATTTACAGAAGGAATCAAACCCCTACTGCCTATGAACCTGATGATTTCTCACAGGTAATGCATACTTCAGAACCCAATTCACTCTTCATCGGCGACCATATTGCTCCTCGTTCTAATGCTGCATTAAGTGCAGAAGATGGTAGGAAATCCGACAGAGAACTATCAGAACATGGCAATGGATATGGAGTTCCATTACTGCTTTCATGTTTGTGTGGTCAACTCATCAAATGAGGACTTCTCACTGAACATTTATTATGTTTTCTTTTATAAAATTTATTCATCTGATTTTCGTTCTTTAAACTACAAATCCATGTCTTAACTATACTGCTAGCAGACGAGATTCATTAAAGATACGAAAGGTTTTTTCCCTTGCAACGGTATTGCATGCACAATCAGCTTTGCAGAAGTTACAAACATAGATCAAACCAAGCTTGCCTCACTGGTCCGTCAGACTCACAGCTCTGCTTTAAAGGAATGCAAAGCAAAATGCAGGACAATAAACTTAGTTGGCTTTAAGTAATTAAAGTTTATATAACCAACAATGACAAGCATCCATTGAAAATATGACTACATTATGTTTCTTGGGAAAAATAGTACTCCATCGCTTCTTCATTCCACAGAGCAGACTGCATCGACAAGATTCTACAGATTTGAACTTTGCAAAAGTATTTAATGACTCTTGTGCTCATCATCGCTCATTATATTCAATACGAACCACTATTAAAAAATGTAGTTCAAAGAGCATACCAAATATAGTCTCCATCCTGAAGCAACATGAACATCAATACCTTGGCTGGTTCATCAACCTATAAGACAGGAAAGAAGATCCATGGCTGTTGCTTGTTAGAACTTCTCGTTCCCTTCACTGCATTCAGCTGGCACTTTTCCTACAGCGGCTACCCATTTTCCCAAATGAGCTGATGGCTGATAAACCCTTTAAACTGCTGCTTCCTTCACTGAAATTGGACTTCCTAGATTTAATTGGCTTAGAGGGGCTAAATTCTGGTCCTGTATCATTGTTGGTGATATTTCCACAACTCAGCCTTAAAGGACTAGCTTCAGCTGCTTCAGCTTCATTGTTGTTGATTTTGGCAACAGCTAGTTGGGTGATGCCCCTGCGGCAGAAGGGGCAAATTGGGACTACAGGAGATGATGTTAGTGGATTGGGCTTCTTGTGGCAGCAAAGAGCTAGGGTGCAATGAGCACACATCCGGTGACCACATTGTCTAATCTCTATTGTGCATAGCTGGTCAAAGCATATGCAGCATACATCGACATCACTAGCCTGTTTGAGAAGATTCATCTGTTAATTAAAAACAGAAAAACATATATATTCCTAATAGAATATTAATTCTTTATTCCTGCACATCACTACTCAAGGTATTATTTCTTTTAAGCCAAAATTAGCAATAAAATTTCCACTATGTAATATATAGAACAAATCAGATGGTGATGCTCCCTTATTATTCATCTTGGATTATTCACACCTGATAACCTTTCAATCCATACATGATACATCTTAATTTCACTTTGTTTTGATGTGAAAGTAAAACTGCAATTGTCCAGGTTGAGATTACCTCAGAGGCAGTATCGTGATCTGCTTCGACCTCAGAATCTGATGCAGATGGAAGTGCGTGAATTGTGTCCTGCAAAATGACATTCTCCCTCTCTCGGTTTGCTTCCATTAAGGCCTTCTCCAACAGTTCTTTTGCTTCTGGATTAAGATCGCTTATGAACCTTAAAGGCAATGGCCAAACAAGAGGTTCTGCAGATGCAGGGTCCAATAAAGCAGCACATGCCTCATGTTTGTGCTTCAAAGCAATTAAATATGGTATTCTCCTGCAGAAATGTAAGCCAGATGCCCGAAACTAGTTTTGTTAATCGATAACAAAAACAGTAAAGTATTAAACAAATCAATGCCTATGGTGTTGAATGGAAGTTCAACAGTATTTGTTATCATAGTTTTGGTATTGTACTGCTGCATTCATGATATAAATACTATTGACAAGAGTTCCGATTGATATTTTAATCAGAAAAGAAATTATTTCATAATTCTGCTCTCCTAAAACATAAGAAAGTCTTAAAAAATTCACTTTCCTACAGATTTTTGGGTTTGAGAGTGCATCTAATCTTTACTGGGGATTGAAAGTTTATATTAATTGGCATATCATAAGCTTATAATTTAAGTGTCAAGCAGAAATCAAGGTACTTTTCATTAAAATCAAATCGACCTTTTGACCATGAAAGCTATATCCAGTGTGCACGGAGCCACGGTCTCTAAGCGGATAAACTAAAGGTATTGTCACTTTGGCTAATCTCACATCAGTCCATAATAATGCAGAAGTCATGATTGGAATTTTCTTTTAATTTATTTGTTAAAACAAGAAAGTAAAAATTGAATTTCCTCCCTCCTTTTCCACATTTGCTCATCAAGGCTTACCCATATGAATCTGGCTGAAGCCTATCTGCTCCCCAAGCAAGCAATTTCCTGATACACTCTATAGAACCCCCAGAGGCAGCAAAATGAAGAGGAGTGCTGCCAGGGTAGCTGCAGAGAGGCCTAAAATCAATTCAAATTCACAACTGAAAATGATCAACCAATAGAATGGAAGCAAGATAATTACCCATTTCCACCAGTTGAAGCACAAACAAGAGCCCCATTATCTAAGAGGGCATGAACACAATTAGACCATCCTTGGCGAGCCGCCAAATGCAGTGGAGTAGCACCATTTTCATCTCTTATGTTAACAAATCTTACAAAGCCCCTACAAATTTGCAATGCCATTACACAATCAGAGAATAATCACACAGTTCACCAATTATTTTGCCACTTTTTGTAAGTGTCAGAGGGAGAGACCAAGAATCTGCAAGGGGGCTGCTACGTGCAGCAGAAAGAAGAGCTTGCAGGCAATCAAAATGACCATAGTATGCGACATAATGCAAGCAGGTTCTTCCTTGGAGTGAATCAAACATCAATACCTGATTAATTATAAACATTACCATCGATCAATTTCTTTGTAACAGACAAAGTAGTAAAAAAATTGCAGCAGAAGAAAAAAAAGAATCAAAACTTGCCATACATATGCTCCTCTCTGGATTAACATTTTGACACAATCAGTCTTCCCATGCATCGCAGCCAACATCAACGGGGTCTAAACCAAGCACAAGCATAACAGATCATGACATAGAAATCAAAAGACAATCTATCAGAAACATGCAAAACAAGGATTCCATGTCTGAACGTATACCTGTCTATGGCGATTCAAGATATCTGAATTGGGACATCGATCTAACAGAAATGAGAGAACCTACACCAATGATCAAACCAAACATCAAAACAAAAGAATCCCAGAACGAAGTCATCAACATTGTCTCCCCTCCAAAAAAACAAAATAACGCAGAGAAAATCCCAAAATCCAGCAAAATCAATTAAGAAACACCAAACCCACCTCGATCTGACCATAGATAGCTGCCACATGCAGAATAGACGACTTCCCATATCTAGTTGTCCTCTTTAAGGTATTTGGCTCTGCTTCAACCATTGCCTGCACCATCACCAAGTCACCTGTCTGAACAGCACTGAACAAAGCAGTCTCATGGTTTTCTCTGCAACTAAGCTTTTGACCCATCACCTCCTTCCCACCTTATCTGTCACTTAACCGACGGAGGACTGTCCCAGAGACTGCCTCACGCGCCACCTCTAGGTGGTGGTGGTGGTGGTGGTTTAGGTGGTGATGGACCTGATGGTGATAGTGGTAGCAATGACTGAGAGTTTCTGAAAATGGAATGGCTTATCTATTTGTACTAGACACAAAGGAACTGAAGCCTCGTAGTTTGGTCCGAGATTTCGGGCAATTATCAAAATTCAATTCGGACATATTAAGATTCTTTTTATGCATTGTTCGTTAGTCTTTCCCCCGAATTAGAATTGTTGCGTGGTACATTGTCTGAACAATGTCAAGCACTCCTTTCCCCTCCATAACCGAAAGAGCACTTGTCAAAAATAGAGACCATAATCTTTACTTTTGTTCTATCTTTCCCCTTTTAATAGATCTTCAAATAAAATTTTTAATTTTCATACTATAAAATATGATAGTATTATTAAAAAAATATTTTGATTTTAATCAAAGATTTATGAGAGAATTGCTTTTCTTCTTTAGACTTTTCTTCCCTCATTGTCACCGTCCTTGGCATCAGCATAGTTCAACCTTTTCCTTTTTGGTGTTTTGTGTCAATTAACTACAGCTCAAAAGCAAGGAAACAGAATTAAAACAAAAGCAGAGGTGAAAAACACATTATGTTTTTAAGGGGTCACACTATTACACGTCCTTTTTTGCTTTGATCACACGCATGTTCAAGAAAATATATTATATTTGATTTCGTTTTTAATTTTACCTTATGTATTTAATTATAATTAAATTTTTATATTAATATTACTTGTTTTAATCGATAACATAAAATTAAATATTTGATGTAAATACGCGAGAGAGAGATATTAAATAAAATTAAAATCTTTAATTATGATAAAACTACTTTGGAAGGTGAGGGATCATGCATGACAAGAATATCACGTTCCAAAACATAATACGTTGAGAAGGCGATGAAAAGAACAAATAACTAAATCCAATCAAAACCCATGATGAATTAAAAGTTTGTTTTTCGAATGCTTGCTTTAAAACATTGATTCCTTTCGCACCTTTCCTAATATTTTAAGTACAAATGTTAATGTTCTTAAGCAATGTTTTGTCTTTGTTTAGACTTTGATTAAGTAATATTAGCAAAGTACATAGCGCCAAAGCCTTTTGAACATTAAAAAAAAAATCAAAAGAAATTAATCAGATAGGGAAGAAGATAAAATCAAACAGAAGGAGCCATCAACGTTGGCGATTACCACAGCAGTGTTTCATCAAATTTATAATCGAAAAATCTTGAACGCAAATAACTCCTAGAACTAGAGGAAAAAAAGAAAGAACAGAAACAGAAACAGAAACAGATTGAAGCAATAACAGAAATTTGCCCTGAGAAAAGAAGTGATCAAAACAAGCTCTACTTGGAAGCAACCCAGTTGCCATCGCACCATTCCAGATTATTTCTCAACTGAGAAGCAGGATACAAGATCTCATCCCCGGTGGTAGGAAAATAGACCAAATACCCTGACCCTTGTCTCCCGGTAATCCTCCCAACCCACCAACCATCATTGTCGAAAGCATCCACTCTTTGGAGATAAAAGAAAAACCCAGTAGTTTCCCCTATGGTTTTTGGAGGCGCTGGTCGGACCTCGTCAGCAGTAACTATCTCAACCAGAGGCCGAGAGTCATCTCCCTCTTCGACCAAGTTCTTGTACTGAATCTTGTAACGGCTGTCCTTCAGTCGGGATATCACCTTGGCTTCGTAGTATGAGCCCAAGAAGCCTTCTTCGTTGCTGCACACTTCAACTTCATCGCCTTTGGAAAACACCATCATTGTTGCACACAAGGAAATAAAGAAGAACTAGAGAATGCTCTACGAGATTTGTGAAGAAAAAAGAAGGAAGAATGCTAGTGTGCGAAGCTATCAACTTCAGGGTTCTTTTTATAGATGTGTAGAGGCGGTTTAGCTGGTTTTCCTAATCATTGAAGAAGAAGAAACGTGTTTCAGGTCGGGTAGTACGATGATAGGCCTTGGCCCAATCCTTAATTGACAAAACTAGGCTTGCGGCTTGGGTTTGTTTGGGCCAATGATCGCGGCTTAATAGGCAATCAATTTACATTTGATTCAGGGATAAACTAAATTAAAATAATTTTAAAATAAACTTTTATGTATCATATTTAATAAATATTAAAGTTGATCCTTAAAAAGATAAATTTAGGTTTAAAGTCATATTTCAAATGATTAATAAATTTTAGTAAGTATTATATTAAGTATAAGGATTTTTTAAATAAAAAAATATGATATTAAATTTTAATATTAAAATATATGATTTATAATTAGATTTAAGTAGTGAGTATTCTAAAATCATTACTCAAATCCGTGACGAATAATAGTTCTACTATTCAAATCCTACCCGAATTCGATTATAGATTATAGTAATTTTACTTAATAGAGTCAGATAATGTAAGATATCCGGTTGTAAAATATCTATTCACATCTTTAAAATCAAAGTTCTAAATCGATAATGTAATTTTAAAATGTAGTGAAACTATCTCTATGTAATTAGCAATCCTTCTTGATGACCCTCGCATGTATATGATACTGAATTCTTATATCTCAGTTAGCTTTATTCAATGGAAGCAAGAATGAATATATATATATATATATATATATATATCATTAAAATCATGTTTAAAAGAAATAAAATTAAAGGGAAAAAAGCCCAATTTTTTCCTTGTTATTTTTTGAGACAATAGCTTTTATTCTTTAGACTTTTTTTTTCCCCCTCTTTTTGCTTGTTGGGTGTTTTAGGTCAATTAACAACAAGCTCAAAAGCAAAGAGACAAAATTAAACAAAAAGAGGGGTGGAAAAAACATTATGCTTAGGGTTCACATTTTAGTGTTATTTAATGGTCATATATTTATTTTTATATGAAATTACCAATCTATTGGTTAATGGAAAAGAGGAGTAAGTAATTTCCACGTTCCAAGGAGGAAAGAACATAATTTTTACAAAATTACTCCAAGGCAAAACTCCATAATGGTGCGAAAATTGCCTTGGGAGATAGGACAATAACATTGGCTGCCACATTTGGTTCGGTTAATATTTCTTGATTATCATCTCCCCAAACTTAACTGTGTTAACATCCTTCTATATCATTCTAGTTTTACTAGTTCATAGGATCATTGTTTTCTACTGCTGCCCGATGATGTAGTTCACAAACTCAGAAAGTACAAGCCCATGCACTTACTTAATTACCAGAGTCCTGATTGAAGGTATGCCACTAAAGAACAAGGTAACACGCGTTCCTCTCTGCCTTGTTTTGTATGTAGGACGTGTTAGAACATGTAGTGATATTTTATAATATGTCAATATCTCATATTGTTAAGATAAAAAGAATAATATTATTTAAATTCATTATGAACTTGTTGTGAGAAAGGAAAAATGAATTAGTTCGTACGTATTGAGAAATACTCTCAAATAAATTTTTTGTATATTCTTATACAAATAAATCTTTATACTTTTAATCAAATTTTTATATTTATATTTTAAATTAAATATATACTTTCATTACATTTAATTAAGTGTTTGTACTTTTATTTTGAACTAAATAAACTCTTATGCCGTACTTTGTTATTTTTTTCAAAGCATAATATATAAATAAGTGTTTGTACTTTTATTACATTTAATCAAGTCCTTATACCTTTATTTTGAACCAAATGAATTCTTGTACATTTTATTTTGAATTTACCTTCTTGATTTGGTGGAACATTTTGTGCTTGTTATTTTTTCCAAGGCATAATATACAAAAAAGTCTTTAAATTATTCAAAAAAATTCAAATAAGTCCTTATATTTTTATTACATTTAATTAAGTTCTGGTACTTTTATTTTGAAGTAAATAAACTTTTGTACTTTTTATTTTGAATTAAATAAGTTTTTATAACTAATTATTGACTTAGTCAAAATATCATTTGTTATTTTATGTTAATTATAATATAGTATAGTGTCATATCATGTCAATGCTTTGCGAATATAAAATGACAAATGACTTTTTTACTAATGACAATTCATAAAAATTCATTTGATTCAAAATAAAAATACAAAATTTAATTAAATGTAATAAAAGAATAAAAGCATATTTGAATATTCTTAAATAGACTAGAGATTTATTTAAACATTATGTTTGTTTTTTTCAACATGAGGATCATTTAATTACTTAAGCGAGAAAGCACCACCGACACAAAGCCATTGATGATAAACATCAAAAGGATAAGAGCAAGGGGTAGAAATCATAAGGAGAATTAGAGATGTCTAATCTTTGAGGTTGTTAAAGTACCAATAGCAATGACTCTGAGTTCCTGGAAGTGATCATAACCGAAAGATCACTTGTCCAAAATAGATACATAATATGATAGTAGATTATTTCTATTAATTGGTTTTTATTGATTTATGAAAGCATCAAATTCAAAATTTTAAAAAAGTGCATTTGTTCATGAAAATTAGATTAACTTTGAAAGGGTTTATTCTCATGAGTTTAAGCATTAATTAAAACATACTTTGATTTTATTCAAAGGTTTAGTTGCTTTCAAACTTCTCAACTCAAACACTAAGATGTTTTTTAATACATCTTTTTCAAAAATTTAAATATAAAAAATAGTTCATCATTCATGCTTATGGATAATGCCATGTATCTACTAGTATTTGTTTTACAAATAATTAAATCTCTGATGCTTTGATTTTATTTGCATGGAAAGTTAAATTTGTAGCTGAGTTTGCATTGAAATGAAATATAAAATCAGCATTTAAAAAAGAGTATATATGCTGGGTGAAAATGAGACCAAAATTAAAAATACATATATATAAAGCCTTATTTTATGAAATAAATTGTTTATTAATGGAATATATATATTGACTTTTAACTTTCTATTTTCAATCATGTATGAATGAAATAAAGTTAAAGGGGTACAAAACCCAATTTGTTTCCTTCTCATTTATGAGACAATAGCTTTTCTTATTTAGACTTTTTGCTTTTCCTTTTTTAGTTTTTTTTGGTGTTATAGGTCAATTAACTACAAGCTCAAACGCAAAGAGAGAAAATTATACAAAACATTATGCTTAGGGTTCACATTCTAGTGTGTTTGATGGTCATAATTAATTTTTTTTTTATATGCAATTACTAATTTATTGGATAATATGACAAATAACATTAGATTACACTTCAAGAAATCAGTAAAAATCTGGTCAATTACTAAATCCACTCAAAAAGAGGCCTCAACATTGTCAATTACCTTAGCACTGTTCCATCGAATTTGCAATTAATCTAAAAACCTTGGATGCTAATAACATAAATTTCCCCTAAAAAGGAAAAAAAAGAAGTGATCAAAATACGCTGTCCGAAAACCACAAGCCATTGCACCATTCCACATGAATTCTCAACTGAGAAGGAGGAAATGTGATCTCCTTCCTGGTGAGAGGGAAATAGACCCAATACTTGAACCCTTCTTCCCCGGTAATCCTCCCAACCCACCAACCATCATTGTGGAATGCATCCACTCTATCGGAGTAAGTGAAAATCCGAGTGGCTTCCCGTGCGGTTCTTGGTGGTAGTGGTCGGACCTCGTCAGCAGTAACTATCTCAACCAGGGGCCGAGATTGATCTTCCTCTTCGACCAGGTTCTTGTACTGGACCTTGCAACGGCTGTCCTTCAGTCACGATATCACCCTGGCTTCGAAGTATGACCCCTAGAAGCCTTCCTCGTTGCTGCATACTTCAACCTCATCGCCTTTGCAAAATACCGCCATTGTCGCACACGAGGAAAAACGAAGAACTCGAGAATGCTCTGCCAACTTTCTTAAGAAAAAAAAATGGAGAGTGCAAGTGAATGAAGCTATCATCTTCAAGGATTTGTATAGATGTGTAAAGGCGGTTTACGCGTTTTCGCAGAAGTTGTTTCAGGTAAAGTTGAACAGCGACTCATCTCTGATGGTCCTAGGCTCTTGGGTTTGTTCGGGCCAATAATCTGGGCCCAATGGACAGTCAATTTACATTTGATTTGGATCAAGAAATAAAGAGAGAGGGAGAGTGAAGACTCATGAAGCTAAATTTGGGTATCAAATAAGATGTAGTCGACATGCAATAACTGCAGTGTTTTTTTAACTTCGGCTTCGGTTTGCATTCTTCCACTGATACCCAAAACAGAGATGGCCTCCATGGTACCCCAACTTAGGACTCCAATGGCATCAGAGCTCTTGGTAATATGATCTTGAATCCTTGATCTCAGTGTTCATTGAGTGGAAGCAAGACTGATAAATGCATACTGCAGGACAGAAAAAAATTCCCATCCGGAATCATCAGAAGTGGTATTAACTGATGATGGCTGGGGCATCAACTGTGAAGATTGTAATGTGCCTTCAGATGGATAAGAGGGCATCAACTCTCAACTTTTTTGGGATATCTTAAAGGGGATTTGCAAACAAAAACCATTAGCCAACTTTGAGGTTCTCTCCCATATTAGTGGCTAGAGTAAGGAAGATGCATCCCATCAAGCAACAGAGAGAGATAACTGAATAAAAAGCAAAGACTACTATATTAAAGCAAAGGTGGTGCAATTATATTACAGTCTAGTGCTAATCAACATCAATTAGAAAGAGAGGTGTATTGCCACTAAAAGAGTCTGGAGAATTTGTGGCTGAGATGATACAGGAAAAATTCCAACGTGGTATCAAGCTGGATTAATTTGGTAAAAATCAAATTGTTACATCTTTCTCTGTTTGTTCCTTGGCCTGCTTACCAACTTTTAGAGGGTTTACTTCACAACAAAGGCAACCGTTTTGGAAGGGAAATTCCAATTTGTTCAGCTCCGGTGGGCAGGAGTTCATGGCTTTCAACAAGCCCTGGCCCAGTTCTCATGAGTCCCACATGC